CTTCTGCCGCTGCAGGACGCTCTCCCGACAGGTGCGGTACGCCAGGGCGAACTCCTGCAGCAGCTTGCAGATGGGCGTCACCTTCACGTCCCGCGCTGCACTCGCCGGGTACCCCAGGTACAGCAGGAAGGAGTGAAACCTGCAGGGCCATTGGTCACAGCAGGCCACCAATGGGACCGTGGGGGTTCCCGCCACGTCCCCAGGACCTCGAGCCACCAACCTGTTGAGGATGCGCCTGTGCACCACCTTCAAGATGACAATGCGCTGGGTGCTGTCCTTGAGGAAGTCCGTCAGCTTGCTCTTCAGCACCGGCTTGGTCTCGTGCTTGGCAATCACCTTCAGGTTGTCCCAGGAGGCCCCGTACCTCCGCTCCAGCTGCACCAGGCTGTTGGCCAGCTCGTCAAAGTCAACCTGGAAGAGTGAGATGTCAGCCCTCGGCTGTGCTGGTGGAGCTGGGCAGCCATGGGACCCACACCCTTGCCTCGCCCGGGTGTCATCTGCCTTGCCTCACCTTGGCGGAGCGGGTGATGGAGGCAATCTCTGAGTAGAGGTCAGTGGTTTCTGGGAACTTCTCTACCACCATCTGGCAGAGATGGTGGAGCAGGGACTGCCGGTGCACCGTGTCCTTCACTTCGGAGACCTTCTCCAGGTAGCCCAGCTCAAAGCCTCTGCTCTGAAACACCAATGGACTCAGCAGGGCCTCTCCATCCCTCCTCCAGCAGACCTCCAGTCCGCAGACCCACTGGGCCCCCACCAGCACCATCCAGCCTCAGGCGCTGTCCCAGGCTTCGCATGGTCCCTCTTGGGTACCCATGCAGCATGGCTGGTCCTGTCCCTGCAGCACTCAAGACAGGCCATGTCCCTCCGCACCCTGCTCCTCACCTGGGAGCCGTTCAAGAAGTTGCCCATGGCCAGCAGCGTGGCCAGGATGCACTTGAAGGTGTGATTTCTGGCCAGCTGCTCCATGCCCACCTTCAGATCAAAGAGCGGCTCTGCAATCTCCTGGGTGAGGAGAGAAGCAGGTGAGACCCCTTGGCCACCCTCTCCCTTAGGAGCTTCAGCATTCGTCCTTGCCCATGAGGACAACTACTTCATGGTCAACCCAAGCCCATGCTTGCCTTGGGGACCTGCAGCCCATCCCCAGCCAGGACGGCACCTCCCGTACTCGGACATGGCTGGTCCCCACCAGGAACACGCTTGGCTCAGCGCTCAGCACTGCTGGGGCTGGCGGCGGTGGGAGGGCGGCGGGCAGATGGGGTACGTGGCTCTGTACCTGCTCCAGGCTCTCGTAGTCCAGCTTGAAGGCCCAGAGCTGGAGCCTGGCTGTGAGGTCGCTGATGGAAGACAGGGCAAGCAGGAACTGCTCCGCAGAGCCCAAGGGCACATCAGGGTTGGCCAACTGGGCCTCCTGGATCTTCTGCTTCTCCTCCTCGGTCGGGACCATGGTCAGGATTTTCTAAAGCAGGCAAAGAGGAATGCATCAGACTCCAGACATGTCGCCATGGGACGTGTCAGCCCAGGGCTGGCAGCACAGGCATCATGGCATGGAGGCGTCCTGGCCAGGGGAGTCAACCTGCATGAGGACATCAGAGGGGCCGAGCTTCTCTCATGCTCACCTCAATCCCTTCCTTATTGACTGCAAACTCGTCAAAGTTGAGCACAGCTGTTTTGATGATGTGCACGGGTGGCAGCACCGTGAGGCCAATGTTGATGGCGTTGCTCCTCTTGGGGTCCAGCACCACCACCACCTTCTTCCCATCGATGGCCTTCTGCAAAGAGGACAGGATGGATGGGGACAGCCAGGCAAAGGGCTCACCTTCATGAAAACACCATGGACACAGGGAGCCGACCAGGGACCCAGTGGTGAGCCAAACCTGCGCACTGCCCATCACCGTCCCCACCGAGCCTCCGGGCTGCGGGTACCCATCCTCAGCATAGGGTAGGGATGACAGTGCATGCCTAGGGTCCCCACAGGGGCTAAAAGCCTTCCTCCCACCCCTCAAGTCCCCTTGGCTGACGAGTGCCAGCCCGCTGGTACCTTTGAAGTTGGCACTTCCTTTGACCGTGACTCAAAGAGATGCTCCAGTTTGGCAGCATTGACCTCGACGTTCTGCAGGGACGCCCACAGTGTCACCTGGCCAAACCTGCCTGGCCCCACGGTGCCATCCAGCTGCTTCAGCTCCTTCCAGAAGAGCTTCACTGTCCTCTTCTTCTTGGCCTGGGAGGGGCCATCCATTGCTGAGGGGCCTGGCAGCCCTGGTGGGGGTGGGCAGCTGGGGACCGCAGGGGGTGGAGGTGGAGGTGGTGGGCAGCCAGGGACCGCAGGAGGTAGAGGTGGAGGTGGTGGGCAGCCAGGGACCGCAGGAGGTGGCGGGGGAACCATGAGAGCTCCAGCGCTCGTTGCTTCGATGCCGGGATGAAGGAAGGAGCCGTTGGCCATGGGCGCCGTGTCCAGGATGTCAAAGTCTTCTTCTTCCCCCAAATCAGTGAAGTCCAGGTCCTTGATCTTCAGCTGCCCGGGGCTGGCCTCCAGGCGCTCCCACGTCAGCTCCATGTCCTTCTTGATAGGCATCATGCCAGTGTTCTCCAGCTTCTGAGTGTGGGTCTCAGCATCTACGCTGGACATGGCACGCGCCAGCTTGGCGTGGGCGCTGGCCACTGGCCCGTCTGGGGCCCTGCCATGGAGCCAGGCACCCTCCTGCTCCCGGCTGCCACCTCCCTCGGCGTCCATCTCCACCTCACTCTGGACCAGGGGGGACGACGGGACCTCAGGGAAGACCTTCTCCCTCCCCGGCTCCGAGGAGCCCTTGGCATAGAGTTTGTCCAGCATAAACTTGGTGTCGGAGGAAATGGTGCTACAGGAGTCGGTGGTGTCCAGCCGAGCCAGGCGAGACCCTGCAGGGAGATAGAGGCTGGGACAGCCCACTTGGAGGGGGCAGGTGCTGCTGGGCTGCACGTAGACTTGGGGTCCTGCTCCCCAGCGGGGTGTGCTCGGATGCCAGCGTTCGGAGTGGGAAGGGGAGGTACTACCCAGCTCCTCCATGGTTCTGGGTATCACAGGCATGGAGTGGGGGCAGAGGGGCCACTAACGCCCACCCCAGGGACCCCGATGAGCCCAGAGCCAGGAACACACGTGCCGGCAGCACCTACTTATGCTGGGTGGCACCATCCCAGGCTCAGGGGTGCCGCTGTCCCTGTCCCACGTGAGAGCGGTGGGATGCTCCAGCATGGTATCACTGAGGACATCGAGCCGTCCCTTGGCCATGGAAGAGATCTTCTCCTTCTGGGCTGCGGCCAGGTTCTCCAAGAAGCGAGCTCTGCGAGACAGGGGTGGATGTTGGCCGGGAGCAAGGCAGGGATGGGGACGATGGGTCAACCACACCATGCCACACTGCACAGCCAGCCCTGCAGCACAGAAACCCCCTGCACTGGCCACACCACATCGGGGACCCGGAGGATTCAAACTCCTCTGAGCCTTGCAGAGAGACAGGTGATGCCACCACGGCTCGGGGACAGGGATGCCGCAGCCCCATGGGAGCTGAAAGCTCATGCCGTCAGGCTGCCACCGTCACCTGTTGGTCCCAACGGACCTGGTGCTCACTGCGACCCTCATCCAAAAGCCGCAAAACCCAGGAGGGCACCCGGGCAGAGACTCGGGGGGACCCTCCTGCTCCTCATGCCCTGCGTGGCCGGAGCCCAGACACCTCCGGCTGGGCGCCAGCCTGAGGAAGCGCATGCCTGGAGACACACGCATGCCTCTACTTACTCAAACTTCCTCAAAATAGGCTTGTCCCCACGCAAGGAGGGGGCATCCTCCCGCCTGAGGGAAAACAGGGGTTAGCCCCCACTGCCGGCAGCCCCCCGGGGCTCATGCCTCTTGCACGCACCTGCCTGGCAGCCCTCCAGCGTGGGACCCTCACCCCACCATCACCCCATGGCCCTGGGGTTCACGGGGAGCCGGGAGAGCCCCAGCGAGTCCCCTCCCGCCCGGGCACTGCATGGCATTGGGTGCTGGCGAGACGAGGCACTGTCCCCCCCACCAGAGCCACCCAATTTGCCACCAGGATGGCAATGCCAGCTCCCTGCCAGCCCCGGGGCGGGCTGTGCCACCCCCAGCAGGAACACCTCACCCCAGAAGGGGGGGATCAGAGGGTGCCATCACCCCGTGCGGGGATGCTGGCGATGGGGGGAGCGGGCTGGGGTCCCGCAGGCAGAGCTCAGAGGGGAGAGGCAAAGGATGGGGGCAGCGAGGTGGGTGCAAGGCGCAGCGAGGTGGGGCAGGGCAGTGCCCACTCCTGCCGGAGCATCACTCCAGGAGGAAGCACACGCATGCAGAGCCTGGGCACTTACCAGACAGGGGCAGTTTGGTGCAGCCTGCAAAAGGAAAGATAGAAAGAGTGGGCAGAGTAGAGGGCAAGCGTGGGCAGAGAGGAGCAGCAAGGAGGAGCTGGAGCAGAGCTGTGCGTGCCCGAAGGATGCCCTGGAGCCCCTGGCTGGACCCTCTCAGATGCCCGCTCCCCCATCACGCTTCTCTCCAGCCCCATTGCCTGCCCAGACCCTCTTTCTCCCTGGGAGCTCCCCCACAGCCCCAGGGGGACCCCCCCATACACCCAGCCCCTCCTGGCTGCTTACTTGTAGATGCTGCGCTCGCCCGGGCCCGGGGGCTGCTCCTTCTCAGCTGGAGGGGAGGCCAGGGCCAGCCGCACGCTGGACGCGCTGTTGTAGACACTGACAGGACAGGGTCTGGAAGAAGAAGGGACAGGGACTGAGAGCAGGTCCCACAGGGCTGCCCTCCACCCTGGCACCAGGAATGGACCAGAGCGCTGCATCCCAGCATCTTCGCCATCCCGGGAGCATCCCTGCCAGAGGCCACCTCCAGCTGTACTTACTCTGCGGGGCTGCTCGGCACGGGGACAGCTGGGGTGTCCTCGGTGGGGGGCTCCTTTGGGGTGCCAGGGGACCCCAGCAGCGGCTGGGCATCAGGGCTGGGCTCTGGGCAGCCACCCTGGGATCGCCACCCACGCCGGCCCTCATCCGTCCTCCTCCGCTCCTTGCGTCCCCCCGAGAGGCCACCTCCAGCTGTACTTACTCTGCGGGGCTGCTCGGCACGGGGACAGCTGGGGTGTCCTCGGTGGGGGGCTCCTTTGGGGTGCCAGGGGACCCCAGCAGCGGCTGGGCATCAGGGCTGGGCTCTGGGCAGCCACCCTGGGATCGCCACCCACGCCGGCCCTCATCCGTCCTCCTCCGCTCCTTGCGTCCCCCCGGGAGCAGCTCCTCCACCCCATCCTCCAGCTGGAGAGCTCTCTGCGGAGGGGCCGGGGGGGCATGACACCAGGCACGGCACCCCTGCCACCATGAGCCACAGCCTTCCCCGTGTCCCCATGCAGAGCCTCAACTGGCGAGAGCCCTCTGCGGAGGGGCCGGGGGGGCATGACACCAGGCACGGCACCCCTGCCAGCCCATGAGCCAGCCTTCCCCGTGTCCCCATGCAGAGCCTCAACTGGCGCTGGGTGATGCCCTGCCATGGGACACGGCGTGTGGGCAGACCCCGCTCACGGGCGTCACCCGAGGGAGTGATACTCACTTCGTAGAGCGAGAACTGCTGCTTCAAGTCGAGGTCGGTGCCCTTGCTGCCCAGGTACTGCTGCACCACCCGCTCCATGCCCTGCTGCTCCAGGCAGTCCGTCACGTCGTAGAAGGTGTCCTGGTCTGGGAGGGCTGCCAGCGTCTGAGCAGGACCAGAGGGACGCTGCTGGGACCGGTGTGACCCACGCTGAGCCCCACCAGCATGGCATCACGGGGATACCCTGCCACCCCCCCTGGACCTTGTTGATCAGCGTCATGGCGAACACCAGCAGCTCCGTGTCAGCCCCGTTGCGTTGCTCCAGGATGGCCATCAGGTTGGACCACGGGCACGCGCCTGAGAAAAGCGACACGTGAAGGTGACACGTAGGCCATGGGGGGGACACACTGTCCCCCAGCGGGGACCTCGTGGGCAGCTGGATCTGCACCCACCTCTCGCCTGGTCCACAGCGTTGACGGCGAGGATGAGGAGCAGGGCGTTGGCCTCCGTGTACTCCACGAACACCAGCAGCAGCTTCAGCGCCATCTTCACCACCAGGCGAAACTGGGAGAAGGGATGGTGGCTGGGACGGCGGCAGGGGGCTGCCAGTGCGATGCCAGGGCACTGCAGGGTGGCTGTGCCCATGCCCCAGGGCTAGGGGCTTGGCTGTGTGGCCAGGGACCAGCCTGCAGCTGTGATGCTGATGGCCAAGGGGCACCAGGAAGGGACCCAGAGCAGGACCCTCTTACTCAGGCTCTGTGCCCAGGAGCATGGTCACATCAGGATGGGGACCTCTGGGGATCCTGGGTGACATTCAGATGGGTGGGAGTAGGACCCAACATACCCAAAGGTGCCAGGGCACCAAGCCTGAAGGCAGAGGGTGGGGTAAAGTCCCCAAGGGATGGTGCAAGGGGACAGCCACAGGCATGGGTGCAGTGGGGGGGCACAGGCAGCCCCCCCCAAGGGCAGCAGGGCCTTACCGGGCTTCCTGACAGCGTGTACAGCCACTGGACGGTCTCGTTGTGGTTCATGGACCC